GTGCTGTCAGTGTGAGTGACGTGTGTGTATGGAACATGCTGTTGTCATGCGTGTAGACTGCCTTAAGTGTGATAATGAAGTAACAATTTTTTTTTGTAGAGTGTTACTAGTCTTTTCATTGTATACTCTACAATGGGAATTTATTTTTGAAGCTCATTTTTTAGGCTTTGTACACCAGAAAGCAGCTAATGTTGGAAATATTGATATTTTCCTAAACACTCCATAAATATTAAAAACTCCATGTTTTATTTTTGTGGCTGGAGAGACAGCTCAGTGGTCTAAGTGAGTGCCTGGCAAGTGCAAGGCCCCGAGTTCAATCCCCGGTACTTCACGTCATGCCTGTCCCACACTGTGCTGGCTACCAAAACCAGGTGTTGTGGGTACACACCTGTAAGCCCAGTGCTGGGGAGGCTGAGACAGGAGCCGTGTAGATAGACCCTGTCCCAAATAAATAAATAAAATATTAAAAATATTTTATCTTTGTGACATTTTTCTTGCTAAGTACTCACAGTTTAATATAATAAAACTCATAAAATTAAAGTTAGTAATTCATTAGAAATATTCTAAAGAATACACAAGGGTCCGACCCACATTTATGTGCCTCGATCATAAAATTAATCTTATGCTACAACAACTGCAAACTTAAGCATTCACTATAATTTTCTATCACACCTCGTATGTCTGAAGCCAGAGAGGAAATATAAATTGGAGAATTTTGATATTGGAGATTGGATTAAAAGTTACTTTTTTTAAAACCAGGCATGGAACTCAGGACCTTGTGCTTGTCGGGCGGGTGCTGTGGCGCTGTGGACTTGATAAAATCACCTTGTGAATGAAATACTGGTTTTCTGAAATCAAGTGAAAAAGATGCCTAAAGGATGTAAGGGCTCCTCTCAGGTGTACCTGTGAGGTTGCTTGCTAAGTCATAAAGCACATTGATTTTTTCTCCCTACATGCTGCCAGGTTGCTCTGCAGAATGTATTTACCAGCTTAAATTCCCATTAGCAGCACATGGGGACTCTTAGTTCCCCATGTCATTGCCAGCATCTAGGACTATCTTTCTGACATTTTGCCACACCAGTGGGTAGAGTAATGTGTGCTGGAGTGGCTTAAGGCGCTGACTGGGCACATTCCCCCCCCCCACTTCTTATTCAGTAACCTCATGCTGGTAGCATAAAATCAGTGTCAATGAAAGTGTTTGTACCATAGAAATTGGCAAGTACTACAAATGAGAACTTCCCCTATCTTCCTTCACAGAGCAGGCTTTAAAGTATACCCCAGCACATGCATGCCAGTGGCTGTGATGGAAATCACACTGTCTTCATTTTTATCTTCTGAATTTGAGCATCTTTCCTGTGCTTGCTTGCCATTCTGGCTTTCTCTCTGAGCTACCTACTCTTATGCTTTTATGATGCTTTTTTTCACTAAGCACCGTGTCCTTGAGACTTACTGATGCAGCGCAATGCATTTATTGTTGGTACTCCACTGTGTTTATTCCTCTTCCGTTGGCTAGTCACTGTTTACATTTTGTGGAACTCTTTCATTATCTTTTACTAACCTCTTTGTATTTATGGTTTAATATCTTTTCTATTAGTTTACTATCACTGGGTGGGAGGAAGCATAGGCAGGTTACACAAAGAACTGGAGTTAGAAAGGAAGGTTAAGATCATATTCTCAAGAACACTAAATATCTTTAAATGAAAAGCTCCTAAACCTGGGCATGGTGGCGCACATCTGTAATGGCAGGATTCACGAGGCTGAGGCAGGTGGACCAGCAGCGTGAGCCACATGGGCTACATTGTGAGTTCAAGGCCAGCCAGAGCTCAGAACTGCAGAGTGAGACCCTATCTCAAAAACAGAAGGGGTGAGGTGCTCCTGACTGCTTTTTCATCAGAAGAGAGACAGGGGCTGGTCAGATAACTCAGTGGACTAAAGCACCTCCTTAGGCAGAGCACAGCGGCTGGGGTTCAATCCCCACTGTGCCATGCTGGCCCTGCCTCTGGGGTACGTCTCTTATGCTTTTAAAGATTTGTATTAGGTTTTTGCTGATCTGCAAAAAGTTCCTTGTATGTTTCACATATGAAACACACCTTTTGTACACACCTTCTCTAGCTTGTCAGCTCTTTTCCCTTTGGCGTTTCTAAGCAAAGAGAAGATTTACTGTGATGCAGTCAAATACCTTGATCTTTTGCTCCATGGTATATGCTCTTACAGTATTGTTTCCCCCCCACCCCCCGGTTTTTGTTTTTGTTGAGCTGGGGATTGAATCCAGGGCTTTGCACATGGTGTTGAACCACTGAGCTACAACCTGAGTTCTGTGGCTATGCTTTGTGAAGTCAATTCTCACCCCACATTTATAGAAAGTCACCCACTCTTTCTCTTTCATATGTTAGTGGCTAATGGTCTCGAGTTTCTCTTTGTGTATAGCTGATGCAGGGCACTTGACAACTTTCGATCAAGTCAGTTTCCCTAACACCATCTTTTAAATAATTTATATCTCATATTCTGCATTCTGTATCATTGTCCCATTTGTTCCCAGAGCAGCACTGTATCATTTTTGTCACTATGTGGTCATGACAGTATCTGGTAAGGCAGAGTGTCTCCTCTGTTGGTTCTTGCTTTTCAGAGTTGATGTAATTTAAAATTTAAAATTTTCAAATTATATTTTTCCTTATGCATTTCATAATTTAATTGAGTTCTTTAAAATTTTAGTTTTATCAAAACATTGAACTTAGGGACTATAAGATCAACTTTATAGTATGTCTATTTCCTCACTTTTTTTGGTCTTCTTTTATATCCTTCGAGTTTTAGAATTTTTCCCATAATGTTCTGTGTGTGTGTGTGTGTGTGTGTGTGTGTGTGTGTGTGTATTTTAGCGAAGGGTCTACAGGGTGCTTAGGGTCTCACTACTAGTTCAGACTCATAGTGATCCCCCTATTTACAGCCTTCCACAAGCTGGGATTACAGGCGTGCGCCACCATGCACAGTCTCAATTGCTGCCTCAGCACACCCTGGGAGTGGGCCCAACATGGCAGGTCTGGGTATCGAACCTCCAGCCCCTGCACCTGCTTGCAGGCACTTTAATTCGCTGAGCTATTTGGCTGGCCCTTACCCCATAAAGTTCTTGTAAGGTGTTAGGTTAATTTTTAGATATCAGGTGTGTGTGTGTGTGGGGTTGGCAGTGGTACTTAGGATTGAACCTAAAGCCTTTCCACTGAGCTATATGTCCAGTCCTTTTAAATTCTTTTATTTTGTGTTCCTTGGTTGCCCAGGCTAGGCTTCAACTTGCAGACCTTCGGCCTTAGCTCCCCAGAGGGCTATGGTTATGATCACCATGCCCAACTGTGGACATTGTACTTTAAAGTTTTATTGCTATTATGAACAGTCTATTATTGTCTATTTCCTGCTTGGTTGCATCCAATGTAAATTATTGATTTTTATAAATTGATCTTGTACTTGACAACCTTGCTGAACTAACTTATGACTTCTAGTCGTTTGTTGTTTTTTTTTTATGTTGATGATCATATTATTTGCAAACATGACAGACAGAGAGATTTCAGAAGTTCCTCCCAGTGTGGTTATATTCTTCATTTAATGGTGTCTGCTAGTTGAACCCACATCCGGTGCCCCAATTCTGACAACTGAATGTCTCTCACGATCCTATGGACTTCGCCATCTGTACATTCACATTGTGGTAGTGAGTCCCTTTTTTCTCCCCCTTGAATAATAGATTGTCCAATTACCATCCCATGGAAGAGTAATGACCCTACTTTTTGCATATATAGTATTCCTCTAACCCCTTTGTCCTGGTGTGGTGTCTTGATAGCTGGTCACAGGCCCCTCTAATGCCAACAGCTTTTCGGAATGATTCCTGTGTTCTCTGCACCCATTTTTGGGTCCAAAAGATCATCTTATGTAGTGATCAGATCAGACTTAGTTTTGCCTCTTTCTTCTGCCCTGGGTACATGAAGCAAGTGATACAGCTTCCTGGGGTCTTGTTCCCTCATTTGTAAAGTGAAAACAAAGTGAGCCTATAGGCAACGTGTCATGGAACAGACAAAGGGAAAGTGCTTTTTCTTCATAGTGTGACACTGACTACTGCCACTGCCTCTCTCCTGGCCCTGAAGTTTATTTTTATCTTGTTCAAGAACTTTGTGTCTTCAGGTGTAATCGAATCTCTGCAAGCGCTCCTGGATCATATTCCACGTGCCTTTCCACTCCAATATTTCGAGCTCCAAGTTCTGTCTACAGATTACTATCCAGACTCTCTCTTGTTAACTGGGCAATGACCAGATTCAAGACTTGTGTGTCCTTGGAGATGTGCGAGGGAGCAGGACAATGATGGGTGCTTGCATACCTGGTAGAGAGTAATGTCCCACTTTGGAACAAAGGCAACCAGGTGAGTAGAGGCATACTTTCCCTGGTGACTCGGTGTTTTGGCAATTTGCCCAAGTATTATGTGGTGTTTGGGTGTAGTAGAATAATCCAGTGGCCTGGCTGGTTCTAACAGAGATCTTTATTATAGCAAAGAACCATGCAGTTAGCCACACCTTGTCACTTACTAATAGTGGTATCTCAGAAAGACAATTTAAGTCAGCAGTAAAAATGAACTGTATATCTATGGAAACTTCATCAGTAGCTCCTTCTGCTAGCAACAGATCTTTATGGGTTTCTGTGTTTCAGTGACAGAACTTACAAGTGTTTAAGCCCACCCTTGACAGGTTGTCTTCCTTCCTTCTAACCAGCTGAAGAGGTGGAGGTGCGTCAGACAAGAGAAGGGTGTGATAAGAGCAGAAAAGAGAGGTGGCCTCCTCCAAGGGAGGAGAAAGTATCTGTGTCACATCAGTATCTCTGAGAGTGCAAGAGGATGCAGAGCCTGTAGGGACAGAGAAACTGGCAGCTGACCAGGGACGTGGGATGCTGATGGTATTTAATGTTGCATAAGCAATGTGGGTTTTAGTTGGCAGTGTGCTCCACCCTATTCAACAATGTGATGTGACTGCTACAAACAACTATTTTGAGCTATGTTCACAGAAGCATAGGAGGTAGAAAGAGGTGGCAGTGTCTCCTTTCTGCTTTGCACTGCATTCATTCCTGAACATCCCATTTCAGAGAGCTCAGGACAAGCAGGGATGGATCCTAAAGAGTCCTGCAACATGCTGGTGAGTGGGGCTGGAGCGTGTCATAGAAGGGGCAGCCTAAGGGGCACAGAATACTTGTCCTGGATAGAATGGGGTACGACTCAACCTGAGCTCCTACGGTGGACACAGAACCCAAAGAGGAGGAGCAGGAAATGTTACCAAAGGGTGGTCCAAGGTAAAATGGCTCTGAGTTCCTCACTAGGTAGTGCACATCCATGGCCACTTGGTGGGGAAGGGTGTAGGAAGGGCTCAAGCATTTGCAAAGCTATTTTCCCCATTCCCTGGAATCAAGGGTTCCAATGGTAAAAGGTGCTCAATGTGCGGTACACAGTCTCTCTCTGCTCTGGCAGAGACAGTGAAAGACGATTATTCTGTCACTCAGCATCTGTTAAGGCCAGTGTTTTGCTTGGTGATAGCAAAGATGGCACAGTAGTACATGCAGGAGAAGATTGGAGGAAGGGCGGGGGACGGGAAGGAAAGGAAAAGGAGAGGGACAGAAGGGGACAGGGACAGATACCTTATGTCCTGACAACACAGGCTCACTCTTGCCAACCTGTCATGGACTCTTAAGGACTTGTCTTTACCGGAACTCATTAAACGCCCGTGCCTTTCTTTCCACAGCTGGATGGCACATCAGCAAGGCGTCACAGTTTTAGCACCGTTTGGTTTTGGGGTGGTGGCCAGGGTAGAAGGTGATCAGGGCAAGAGGTGGGTGAGGTGGGAGCAGAGTAGGGGACATAGTGCGGCGACTATCCCTCATCCCTTCTGCTGCCTTCCCGGCTTGTATAATTGCTCTGAGATGAGCACAGCCACTGAGTAGGCTTTTTACGGCAAGGCCAGCATGCAGGTGATTGCAGGACCTTGCAGCTACTCCAACGCTAACGACAGCGGCGGTTTCCGCGGCGCAGGCAGGAGGGAGCCCGGGTAGCCAGTCGGGGCAGCCGGGTCTTCACTAGGAGGGCAGCCCCGCGTCCCCGGAGCCCAGGGCAGACCCGGCGA